AACCCACGTAGGCATGAGGAGAATGTGCAACCTCCTTTGTCTTTCTGTTACCAGCTTAACTTCCCTCCAGTTTGGGTTACCCCTCAGGTTCCTAACCCCCTTATAAGCTGGTTTAAATCCATCCCAACAGCTCAAACCAATCTGCCTGCAAAGGATAACAGTCCCACTTCCCTTAAGGTGTAATCCACTAATGTTTCCAGAACCAGTCCCAATTCCTCAGAAATCCAATGTGCTCTCCCCTTATACCAGTTCTCCATTCATGTATTCACAGTGATCATTCCTCTTGATATTAACCTCACTAGCATGTGGCACTGCGAGTAAACCTGAGATTAACTGCTCTTGAGGCCATTTTTTTAATTCCTTCTTAACTCAGTCTGAGGTGCCAGGCATTAATTAAGGAGCAAAGTCTCAGATTATTACCTGAGGCATGACCAATTTGGTGTAGGGCGAATAGAGTAGAGAGATGAATGCGCGGTTCAGACTCTGGTGTGGGAGCAGTGGGTCTGGCATGTGGGGCTCTGACTCCATCACTGGGGAAACTGGGATCTGTACAGCTAGAATAGTCTCCATTTGAACCACGCTGGGGCCTGCTTTCTTACCAACTGCATAACTAGTGATTAGAGAGCATTTTAAATTGAATAGTGCAGCTAAGAAATCACACTTGGAAATATGTGATAATTGAGAGTAGACACAAGGCCAAAGGGAAAGATATCAATGCAGGCAATGAGAAACAAACCATGACAGGATGGAATAAACAGTAGAAATTTGAGTAAATGGATAGATAAGGCTAGAAGTTATCAAGTTATCAAAAACATAAAAGCACTGAGCATTCGAAACAAAACAGATGAAACTGTGAGCACAAATAGAAGTATAATCTGGAAAAGCTCAGCAGGTCTGGCAGCATCTGTGAAGGAGAAAACAGAGTTAACGTTTCGGGTCCGAGGAAGGGTCACCGGTCCCGAAATGTTAACTCTTTTCTCCTTCACAGATGCTGCCAGACCTGCTGAGCTTTCCAGCAACTTTGTTTTTGTTCCTGATTTACAGCATCTGCAGTTCTTTTGGTTTTTATTTAGAAGTATAATCTGGTAGGCATGGTGGTGACATGGGTACAGAGAAACATGAAAGGTGCAGGATATTTAGGGAGAACACAAAGTTGGGAAAAAGCAAAGGGTGTGGAGCTGGATGAGCACAGTAGGCTTCTGAGAAAACAAGATGTGGAGCTGGATGAACTCTTGAGATAACATCCAGCTCCACACCTTGTTATCTCAAACTCCAGTATCGGCAGTTCCTACTATCCCCAAAAGCAAAGGGTGGCTATGTTAGTTAATCCTGGTGTTAGCACAAGACTATGCCAGTACTGTTCCTCGGGAAATCGGAATGGAGAAACAGTTTGTGTAGAAATGAAAAATGATAAAGGCAAGAATTTATTTGTGGGAGTGATGAACAGGTCCCTTATAGTAATCACATGGTGGAGTGGAACACAAAGGAAGATAATGGGAAGCTGTCAGAAAGGCATGTTGATAATCATGGGGGATTTTAATTACATATAGACTGGAAAAGTCAGATAGACAAAGGTAGCCCAGAGGGGAAGTTCACCAAATTGAGAAACATTAGTTTCTTAAAACAGCATGTTCTGGAGCCAATCAGAGAACAGACGATACTAGACCTGGTATTGTGCAATGAGATAAGATTAAATAATGATCTCGTATTGAACAAACCCTTAGGTAGCAGTGACCATAATATAATTGAAATTTAAATTGTTTGAGTGCAGTAGGTCTGAGACTGTTTTAAAAACTTAAAATAAATGCAATTATGAGAGCACTAAAGCAGATAAAGTGAACTGGCAAATTTAGCTTAAGGACAGGTCAACAAAGATGTATTGGCAGATAGGAGACATTTCAGAATACTCAGAATAGGTACATTGCAACAAGTTAAAAAAATTCCAAAGAACAGATTGACCATCTGTGGTTAACAAGAAATATTAAAGAGAGTATCAAATTAAAAAACAGGTGGCAAGTCCAAGATGGACAGAATATAAAAATAAGCAACAAATTATTAATGAGTAAAATTAGGATTTGAGGAAAAGCAAGCCAAAAATAAAAAAAGTCAATTTTAGGAGTTTCCGTAAATATTTAAAGGAGTTAACAGAGTGAGTTCTGGTCTATCGAAGTATATCTGGAGAATTGATAATGTAGAGAAAGCGTTTGCAGATGAATTGAGGAGAATCTTTGCATCAGGCTTCACTGTAGAAGGTATGAGTAACATCCCAGAAGGAGCAATAAATCAGGAAATGGAAGGCAGGGAGGACCTCAGCGAAAATCACAATCACCAGAGAATTGTTGGAACTGTGGGTTGACAAGTGCTGATGGATTTTGCCTTAGGGTCTTAAATGACCTGCCTACACCAAATGGATAGCGATTCAACAAAACAGTTCACCACCACCTTCTTAAGGGCAACTAGGAATAGACAATAAATGCTGGTTCAGCCAGCAATGCCCACACCCCATGAATGAATTTAAAAAAACCACTATAGGCCATTTAGCTTAACATTTGTCAAAAGGAAAGCATTAGAAGCCTGTATGAAATAAGTAATAGCAGGCCACTTAGATATGTTCAAGGTGATCAGACAGGGTCAGTTTGATTTTATGAAAGGGAAATCAAGTTTAACCAATCGATTGGACTTCTTTGAGGAAGCAACATTAGACCATAAGGCATAGGAGCAGAAGTAGGCCATTCAGCCCATTAAATCTGCTCCACCATTGATACATTAGCTGATCTGATAATCCTCAACTTTTGACTCTCCAGCCTTTTCCTCATAACCTTTGATTCTTTTACAGATTAAAAATCTATCTCAACCTGAATATATTTAATGACCCAGCCTTGAAAGCCCACCGTGGCACAGAATTCTGCAGATTCACCACCCTCTGAGAGAAAAATTCCTTCTCATTTCTGTCCTAAATGTGTGACCCCTTATTCTGAGACAATGCCATCTGGTCCTAGACTTTCCCACAAGGGGAAATAACCTGTCTGCATCTACCCTGTCAAGTCTCCTGAGAACCTTTTATGTTACAATCAGGTTGCCTCTCCTTCTTGAGAATAAAGGACAAGTTATGGATGTGCCACAGCTATAAGTGCTGAAGTCCCAACCGTTTATGGCATATGTAAATGACTTGGATGAAGGGACGGAAGGTATGGTTACTAAGTTAGCTGGTGATCGAGATTGGAAAGAAAATTGGTTAAGAGGACATCCAGGTGCTACAAAAGGAAAATCACGTTTGACAAATCTACTGGAATTTTTTGTAGGTGTAACTAGTAGAGTTGATAAGGGTGAGCCAGTGAATGGGGTTTCAGAAGGCTTTTAACAAGGTCGCACATAAAAGACTTGCAAGTGAAATTGAAATGAATGTGACTGACAGGGATAAAAAACTAGTCGGCAGACAGGAAAATCCAGGGGGGTTCACAGTTTAAGGATATGGGGTAGACCATTTTGGACTGAGATGAGGAGAAATTTCTTGATAGAGACAGTGGTGAGCCTGTGTAATTCTCTGCCAGAGAAAGTGTTTGAGGCCAAAACGTTGAATGTTTTCAAAAGGGAATTAAATATAGCTTTTGGAGCTAAGGGGATCAAAAGGGAAAGTGGGAACATGATACTGAGTTAGCTAATCAGCCATGGTCACATTTACTGGTGGAGCAGGCTGGAAGGACAGAATGGCTGAACCCCACTCCTATTTTGTATGTTTCTCTGTTACACCCATCAACTCTCTCACTTGCTATCAGCGCTTCTGGTGAACACTCCCTTTCAGTTTGCTTCCTTCAATCTTCTGTTTCTCTCACTTTATCTCTACACTCTCTCCAGTTCTCTCTCCCTACCAGCCCTCTTTGCCTATCTTCTCTATCTCCCTATCTCATCCCTCTCCTACTGTCTTACAGACACACATTACCTCTTTAGGTTATTTTTTGCAATGTTTCTCTTTCTATAACTGTGCCCGCCCCCAGGCCACTCCTGACGTGCCCCCCCCACACATTTGGTTCCCACTTGCAGTTGGCTGCCTGCCCCTGTTTTCCCTGCAGTGTTACATTCACACACCTCCTGCTTTCTATTGGGGTTGGTGTGTCCGGGGTCACGGTGGATGTGAGAGTGCGGGAGGGAGTAGAGTGTGAGAGTGTGGGGCAGTGAGAGGGGTTTCTGGGGGTTGTATGGGAGAGTGGTGAGGGTGAGGGGCTGAGGATGAGTGGGTGGGGGTGAGGGTGGGGGA